AAACAGTCCTTGATGAATTTGGTAAAGTAGGCATTATTTCTGCTGGTGTAGATCATGAGCTCATTTGTGAGAGTTTAACTACTTGGAAGGGGTTGAAGCAAAAGAGAGCTTGCTGTGTAAGTTGGCTCGTGAGATACAGCAGCGGTTGACTCGCGAAATACAGCAACGTGGATTTTTTAAAGCTTACTAAGACGTTAGGAACGAGAGTTTTTCCTTCTGTTTCAGCTTCCACTGTGAAAGTAATTCTTGGAAGTTGTGATTTCAGATACTAAAAGAAGTTTTCGGGTAGGTTTGAACCACATGTCTTTAATAAAGATGTCATCGACATACTTGGTCGCAAAGTAAGGTTTTTGAGAATGGAAGTGGAAATTCAACATGAATACACTGCAAGATTGAGGTGACTGGGAAAAACAGAAGACACGGTAAAAGGATCTTCTATCGAATGGAAGTGGAAATTCATCATGAATACACTGCAAGATTGAGGTGACTGGGATGATAGAAGATCCTTTTACCGTGTCTTCTGTTTGAATGGTCGGTAAAAGGATCTTCTATCATCCCAGTCACCTCAATCTTGCAGTGTATTCATGATGAATTTCCATTTCCATTCAAACAGAAGACTCGGTAAAAGGATATTTTATCTTCCCAGTCACCTCAATCTTGCAGTGTATTCATGTTGAATTTCTACTTGTCTTCTGTTTGAATGGAAGTGGAAATTCATCGTGAATACACTGCAAGATTGAGGTGACTGGGATGATAGAAGATCCTTTTACCGTGTCTTCTGTTTGAATGGAAGTGGAAATTCATCATGAATACACTGCAAGATTGAGGTGACTGGGATGATAGAAGATCCTTTTACCGTGTCTTCTGTTTGTCCGTAAATTGTTATCCCACTGTAAAAATGTTGATTTGGTGCATAGAATGATAAGTTCAAATGTGTGATGAAGTGTGATTATCCGGTAGGTGCGGAGGGTGATACGTTAAAGTTTAAATGTCCGAGAGTAGAGTCATCTGACGAGTTTTAGATAATTTGTTCAATATCTACATCAACAGTTAGAAATTTTGTCACCAGGCTGCCATGGTTGTAAAAACTGATTAAATTATCTAAAATTAACCGATCAGTTATTCTTCAAGATTAGGTTTGGGTCATATACCACGACCGCTGTTAAAATTGGGTGTATTATTTAATCGCACATTCAAATTAACCACCTAAAATAAATAAATAACACGGGTAACGTTTGACTTTACACAACTGAACAGCTAAAAACATTTTTACTGATCCACGATCCCCACTGAAAGATTCTGTATGTTACAATGGGATTTTTTTTATTACTACAATAGTTTTAATATAATAATCCTTTTCATGTACATATTCATGTTTCATGAGAAGCAACTATGCGTGTGAAGATAGTGAGTGATAGTATAGGTGTGAAGCATTGTGGCATGCAACCTAATTTTAATTTTGACATAAAAATTCATTTCACAGACAAAGCTTTCAGATCAATTTTAAATCTTATAAGATGTACACAAGGCTACCTTTACTTGCCGGCAAAAGATGGGCGAATTTTATGTTTTCCACTCCGCAGACTGTGCCCTAATTTTGTATGTTCTGTTTGTGAGAATCTTATTTCAAACTGGTTAAGTAGAAATTAAATTTTGTTGAAGACATGAAGATGTTGCGATACATATATATGTTCATTTTCCTTTAATATGTGCTTTTCGGTGGCTCATCTTTATGCTTATATAAAGTTTGAATTTAGGGTTCGATCGTCGCAGCATACAGCCTCAACTACTGTGTAGCTTTGTGATAAAATGGGCATTTACTATATTTCTAATGACACAGTTTGAATCGTATTTTCCAACAAAGTAGATCATATCCCAAAATGTACTTTGAATAAAATAACGTCGATATCCGTTTAAAATCGCTGAGTTATCTAGTGTTGAAAAACATGTTCTCTCAACAATTAAAGCTTGTAGTAAGTTAAACGTTATCCGTATTTCGTTTATACGTATGCACGAGTATTGAAAATAAATGTGAACTTGCTAGGCATAGAACCTAAAAATGATGGTCAAATGATGCATCCGAATTATTTATGTTAACGTATTTTAACATCTCTGCTTACTCTTTTTTGGCACACTGCCAAAATTCGTGATAAAGAAATATTTATCTATTCTCCATTGTTAACTAACATGCTCAAGCTACATGTCTTGTAACGTTAATTGTTATGATTAAATTACGAATGCGCAACGTGTGTTTTCTAGTTTGTTCTGGCTGTATGGATGGATATCTATCTGTACTTAAGTTCTACGTTCGCTTTTCCCAACCGGCTGTTCTTTCTACTATGAGTTATGTACTAATCGCGTGTCTGGCGCAGCACTTTCCGACATCCATGTAATTAAAGTTCTTAAGAGTTTAAATACTCTTGACAACAGAGCGATCGGATTATTTTTTATCCATACTCGCAGGACTTCATCTCTGTCATAGCAACACTTGAATTATTTTCCTTTTTTTCTTTCATTTTTTTGCTTTGGAGCGACTGGTGCGCCCTCACATCAAGCAGGAGAATGGCGCTCACGTTTTTTGGTTCTTCTTTCTTTATTTTTTTCATAGCACCGAAACCATAAGAGGAATCATGCCAAGAAGAACCCGTGTATGTTTTGATTACATTAAGCAACGATGCTTCAAGCTGCTTAATTTTTCATGTAGATGCTTTATAAATCATCAAGAAGTTACTCTCAAACTAAGATATAGCTCGTCCCAATTTTTGCTAATTTATTTTGTCATCATTTTGGTCTTGTAACTTGAGATGGCGTATATTGCTTTAAGCTTTAACGAAAGAATAAATTTTTATTTGCTTTCATACAATCAGCTAGAACGTTCTGTCACACGTAAATTACAGAATGTTATTCCAGCGACTAAAAAGCTATTGTTTGAACAGAGAAACATTTGTCCTGAGCTGTATCCGGCGCGGATCTTTCAACCCGAACGCTCTGGAAACTTTTTCTCTCTCAAATAGTAAATATATAGGAGTTGTAATCTTTAAACTAAAATCCTCTGTTGCCGTCTTGCACCCATTGATTAATATAATTCAGTAATGCTCTGATATCGGATGCTTTTCCGCATACTAAATGCAATATCCGCATGCAGCGATTTTTTAGTGGTCCAGAATAAACGCAGGACGAATCTTACCCCATGCTATCCTGATATTTCATCCATAACATATTTGGTCTCTGACATCAAGGTTAATACGTTTTTCCATTTTTATTTCTTAAAAAAGATTTAAGTACGTATATTTATTGTTTTAAGCTATTTTTCAGATTTGAGCTAAGGGGAGTTGCAGGTCGTAATGATGACGTTAAGTTCGGCCTAGAAAGTTTTTAAAATTTGACGTCAGGTTTTTTTAGTGCATTTGAGGGTAAATTATAAATATGCGGTCAGCGAATAATCGAGAAGATATAGTTGATGAAGAGTTAAAAAAAAGAGAACACGCTGTTTTTAGCCGATAGAGTAGATCAGTCGTGTTTTTGTTTTTAATGAAATATTTATATCAGTGTTAACTATTGCGCATATTGAGTTACTTTGTATAAATAAGGTAGTTTGTGCAATTAGCGTCGTTTGTAATCGTAGGCAACAAATGAAAACACTGTACAAGTGTTATCGTTTTCAGAAACATCAAAGAAGAAATAAACTGATTTGTTATCGTTTACGTGAGCTGAACCTTCAGTTATTTTCACCAGATCGTTTAAAAGAACCCGCCATCTAAAAAACAACGTTACGACATTATTATGCAAACTCGAATGCATTCCAGTTTAAATTTTGAATACATTTTGAAGTTATTTGAACAAATTATCTGTATAAGTTAGCTTTCAAACATGTACACAATGCTGCTCGAATTGAGGGGGAACAGTTGGGAAAACCGTTAAAATGAATATCAAGTTTTTGCGCATGAGGAAACGTTAGGAGAATAAGGCTACTGACTGCCTTAGTCTCAGTTGAGGCTCATGTATACAACTACAGTATTATTGATTTTTCTTGTGTCAAATATTATCTCTATCAACCATTGGAAATTTTGGTTTTTATTTTACTATTAATGGTTTTTTTATGTAGTTTTTTGTTAAGTTTTGTTAAGTTTCATTTATGTGAGCCGTCCGTGTGTGATCAGCATACAGGACCATATAACCGTTGCGCAAAATATATAAATAAATCGCACTTCACACACTGAAACCGTGGGTGCGTTATATTAGTGACAGTCAAATCCCACTGTTCGATTAGAGTAGCCCTCTGAGTCTAGGCTATTAGTCCAAAATTCTGGATGGCGGGTATTTTTTAAACCATCTGGACGGCTAGTGCAGAAAGCCGTTAAGTAGCTTTCTGCGAATATCAGAAACAAAATTATTAGTAACTGATCAGTGAAGTAATTAAATTCACTGTATACACACACACACACGTTAGAATACCTGTGTAATTTACACTTCTTTAGTTATATCTGTGGGTTTACAATTCAAGCAATGGTTTTAATGTAAAAACAGGGTTAAGAAGTGTGTGATTAACTCCAATTTAACATCAGATCTGTAAGTCAAGTTATATTTAAGTCAGAGAAGAACTATGTTATATGTTTTGTTAACTGATTAAATTGAAACTTTTGCATTTTTAACTAAAAAAATGGAAGAATATCTTAAATAAATGTAAAACTTGTTATTTATAAAAAAAAGAGAGTAAAACTAAGTCTGTTTAAATGTATTATTTACATTAGAAAATTTTTGTTACCATAAATCTTCTGACAATAATTTCTATTTTACCCATTTATTATTTTTTACCAACGAACGACACCCTTTTGTCCAATCATAAGTTTCTATAAATATAGTCATAGATATGGTAAACTTATCTTGAAACTTGTTAAATCCACTTTTTTGATTTCCTGAAAATTCCTTTTTATTTGTCAATGTAGATTTAAAAGTATATATACGTAATATGGTAATCTCTCTCTTTTTTTTTATTCCAGTCTGTCTCCTCCGTATATCTATCCATCCCCATACGTTACATCATCATCAAGCTTACTGTTACCTTCTCACTTGCCTTTGTCATCAGCTTCAGCAACAACATGGCAGTTTTATGACTACGCAGCTGCGTACCACCCCACTCAATACGCTAACAGCTTGGATCCGGCCAGCTACGCCTTTCCGAGTGTTACCTCAGTTCCATCCACTGGCCATGGAATCTCGCCTTATCTACCACCTCATCTTTACCCATACACCGGCCCCCAGGCTTTACCTGGGCTTGGAACTGTTGCTGGATTTACACCTTATGCACCCCAGCCCCATATACAGGAAGCAAGGCTGCAATGACAAAGTTCTAGTTTCGAGAGAGTAAAGAGAAAGATGTTTTGAAAATGCCTTATTTAATATTAAAAGCACTGTGTCTTAATTGAACTCTATAGTGCAAGAGTACCTGTTCGGAATGTAACAATACTTTTTACGGACGACAGTAATATCTTAGCGATTTGTAAGCTTAATTCGTATAATGAAACAAGAAGTTGAGAAACATTATTGACCTCAAAGCTGCGTGTGTTACGTTTAGTAATATCTCTTAAATTTCAGGCATATATTTATTACTTTAACAATTAAAGCTTCAGTTCTTGTTACAGTTGTGGATTTCAATAATGTATGATCCTTCTTAGGTCGTGTAATCAAAGCAGCTACCTTCAATAACATAAATCCATTCTGTCCACTTCATCTTATAGTAGTAGGAATTAGTGACCTTGCATTGAAGTAACAAGGGGTTTATATAACACAGAATAGGGCTTAGACCTTACTTTAATTTTTTAACCCGATAGCATCTTTGTAGACGATGTTTAACTGTGGAAATTAATCTTAAACCCCACGTGGTAAGTTATCTGTGGAGAGTCAGGTTCACATGGTTTGTGAGATTTTTTTTTGGGGGGGGGGGGTGTAATTTGAGATATAGGTGACGCAAAGAAAATTTTGATGGTTGAAAAGATTAGATATGTAATTCTAAAACATTTATGTTTGGTTATACCGTATCCCATATTTCTGGTATTGGCAGTATAACAATTGCCATATATTTAGCTTATATATCATTGTTAATAGTAATCTGATATCACGTTGCGACGTCAAGAAGTTTACAAGTGTATGCTAGTCGCCTTCGATATGTGTAATTTATTATAACGTATATGTCTGTGTAAATCATGAATTTTGTGTTAAGAAATATGTCCTAAAATGATTAAAACTGTTTTACGTCACAGTGCTTTTGCGATTTCCTTCGTTGGTGGGGAAAAAAGGTATTTTAAAAACGTTGATGTTGAAGTGCATTTTTTATTTTTAATCTTCTTTTGTATGTGGAAAATTTGTGTAATGTAAGCCACTTAGGCCAAGTTTTGCATATAAAATTGAGATTTTTAGACTTCAAGTGTACGAAACAATATAAAAAACATAGGCCCACTGCTCGGATTTCATTTTTTAAAAGAGAAGCCATTTCATACAATTGCATATTTTAAAATTTATTTTAGCTAATAAAATGCCAAAAAACAGGTGTTTGGTAAAAACGTAATAATTAATTAAGAAATATTATTTATCTTGTGCTGTAAATAAATAATTGTTCCACCCACATACGCATCTTAAGAACTGTGTCTTTGTAAACTTTGTATTTACGAAACGAAAACGTTCACTGTTCACAATATAGTTGAGTTTTAGGAGTAATAAAATATGAGATTTCCCTCTGTTTTAGTGATTTTTCTATTATTTTTTATTTAAATCATATATTTAGTTTTTTATCTTATTTTTTGTGTGTAAATTTTCAGTGGATTTTTTTCCACCTGGTGTCGGTATTTTGCTAATTGATAAGTAGCATGCAGTGTTTAAAATACCATCGCATCTAATAACCTAAAAATACCCACTTGCCCCTTCTCCCAGTATGAAATCCTAGAACCGTCCATCTTTCCACCCACAACGCAAATTTAGGTTCTTAACTTCATACTTTCGACAAAAGCTTTTCCTGTGGGTCCTCCTTTTTTCACACTAACCCTTCTCCTACGGTTGCATGGATATAATAATTTAGTTTATTTCCCAGGTTGGGTGTACCACAGAAACTAGCGTGCCCGGATTATGCGTTCAATGTTCGTTGTTCTCGTCCTGTTACTGCGAAAAAACGCGCTCCGCGCTTTGGGGTCGTGGGTGCACTTTAAGAGGGACGATCGAATCGCACTATTCGGTCCTACAGTAGTAGCCAAATAGTTGACTATGGGTGCTCCCTTCTCTTTAGTTTATCAGTTTAAAATTATGACGGCTATTCGCAGATAGCTCTGCTGCAGCTTTTCGCGAAAATTCTAAAAATAAACAGTATTTCATGCCCGCAGTCTTCCTTAGTCAGCCTAACATCACCAAATATTTTTTAAACAGTAAATGAAACCAAAAGTAAAATTATTGAAATCCAATAACGGGTACAATTACAATTATTGAAAAAAAACTGGTGTTACTTCTCTTCAGCGAAGACTTTATTTTTTAGCCCGTTCTCACTCCAGGGACAATCTCCAGTCTCTTCAATTTTCTTGATCCATCACATTTTATAGGTGGTTCTTTATCATTTACAATTTTGAAAGTGATTATTCAGGAACGGCTGAAAACGTCATTCTCAATTAGCACACAAGTGGGGAACTTGATGTTGGAAACTTATTCTAAATAAGGGTTAGCCGATTGGAGGTTTTTTTTTTGTTTTTTTTTTGCATCATCGGGCCTTTCTTAAATTCGAACACAACATTACCAAGTTTTTGTTTTAAATGTACACGGGGGTTAATCAGTGACATAGTGGTGACAATTGGGTTTTGACTTTTACCTTCCATATATTTATTGAACAGGATTTCAATTGTTCTCTTCAAAATCGACTTGTATCTATATAAATATAGAATACCGTTGGAATTTTTGTTGTTATATCTCAATTGTAGTCATTTCGTATATTGCACGTCACTGTAGTTTTTTTATTGTTATATCTCAACTGTAGTAATTTCGTATATTGCACGTCACTGTAGTTTTTCATTGTTATATCACAATTGTAGTAATTTCGTATATTGCACGTCACTGTAGTTTTTTTATTGTTATATCACAATTGTAGTAATTTCGTATATTGCACGTTACTGTAGCTGTATTTGTACACACACTTTCACATGCTATCACTTGAGTATTTTTCAAATATTTGTTGTCAAGTGTCAATCTGAAGAGAAGTTCCAAGAGAGGTACTGATGTCTCCAACCTGAACGGCACCTTACGTGAAACATGCTAAAGAGCCAGGTCAAAGACCTCTGTAATTTAGAACTGCTGACGAGAAAGAGGGCAACCAATCAGTAGCTCCGCCTACTCTTAATGGAATAGCGGAATTTACTGTCAAAATTATAACAATCCTATAGCTAAAAGAGCGGAACGTTTTTAAAAGCATGTTACTACATGAACGTTCGGCTTACTAACAACTAGCCAACACCCAGCTATCCAAGAGAAGAGTTGAAATCTTGCTCAATACGTATTGAATGTGTAGATAAAAATCCGATTTATTTCCATCATTGCTGAAGCATATTTTACTGTTGAGTGTATTATTTATTCCTTAGTGTATAAAGCTCTCACAATTTTCGTGGGATCCGTATGTCTGGGCTAGGGGTTAATTTTCTTACAGTCCTCGCCTGTTTACGCTGCTGGTTGATTGCTAACCAATTTTTAACTTTTGACGTGTTTCCAGCAGATTCTAGCTGTTGTTATCTTAATATTTTTGGTGTAAGAAATTTTAAACATACCTACTTTTTAGAATAATAATAATATAAGTATTATATGTAAAACAAAAACGTCATCCTTCCATTTTAATTATTCTATATTTTAGACTTTATATATATATTGAATAAAACAGGCCCAAACAAAAAACGAAGTTGAAAACGCTGCATAAATTAAAAGGATCCCCAGGGAAAGGCTATAGTGTGGGATATAAAATGTGCCCTGCAGAAGTAGAATTCACATTGCTGTGGGGATTTACCGTCTACCAGTCTTCACCTCCGTTCACTAGTCTAGCATGTTGAAGAAAAAAAAATCATCAAAAAATACAAGTTAGGAGAGCAAGATGTGGGTATTCAAGCCCACAACGTCTCACATCTATATCACCAGTTGTGGAAAGGTTTGACAGAAGGTCTTAGTCCTGCTACTCATAGACAACAACAAACTCACCCTGCAGTGGAAAGGACCTTTTGAAGTGCAAGACGTTATCAAGAGAAGGTACTGTGCGGTGAAAGTGAACGGGAAGCCAAAGACCTACCATACCAGGGTACTTCGAAAGGTAAGAAGACATAACAGGTGCAGCTGTTGATGGACATGGCAGGTGTGACTATCATAGACGTAGAACCAGAAGACCTACTAGACCTAAGACCATTAGGTGGACATGAGACATACAAAGACGTCAACATCAGTGAGGAACTGACTGGCAAGCAGATGAAAGAACTACGAGATCTGCTGCGCCAGTATGCAGATATCTTCACAGATATACCAGGCAAGACAAACCTTGTGCAACACGAGATCGAGACCATAACAGGGGATTCAGTTAAGGTGACGCCCTAACAGATGCCCTATGCGGAAAGAGACCAACAAGGGAACTGTAAAGGTTAGTGCAGACTATACGAGGAGACTTTGAGTATGAACTGAAAACAGTCTTTGTGTATAATATAAAAAATATTGTAAATATTTTTCTTGAAGTGGGGATTATATAGTGATTTAATATTTAATGATTATTTAGTTTTCATAACAAGTGTGTTAAAAGTTAAATATTTTAAAAAGCGATAGTTATGACAAGGTTCGTTACGTAACTCTGTACGAGTCTTCCGTTGTGTATGCAATTTGGTTGTCATACTAGGCTTTTGTAGTATTTTTGGTTGTCATACTAGGCTTTTGTAGTATTTTTGGTTGTTATACTAGGCTTTTGTAGTATTTTTGGTTGTTATACTAGGGTTTTATAGTATTTTTGGTTGTTATACTAGGGTTTTGTAGTATTTTTGGTTGTTATACTAGGGTTTTGTAGTATTTTTGGTTGTCATACTAGGCTTTTGTAGTATTTTTGACATCATCTTACACGAAGTTTCCAATTTTTTCTCGTTATGTGTAATATTGTTGCTACTAGCGGACTAGATATTTCTAAATTTTTCTGTCGTGTGTTATAAATACATGTAGATACAGAAAATTAAAGTAAGTCAGAAAACGTTGAGTTAGTTAATGTGAAATTAAACTTCGGGATTGTTAGTTTAGCCGTAACGGGCAATATCTAAAGTGAGTTTCATAGTGGTATTGAAACAACAGAGATAAAGAGGAATAATTTGTCTTGTCAGAATCATGGCCTATATACAAAAAAACTGACAATGCAGTGTCTTTAATTTCGGTTTTTGTTTGGGCCTGTTTTGTTCATTAAAATGTCGTTCACCACAGGTTTGAATTTACTGTTTTTTACGCAGTCCTTCCTTTTGTCGTTAATTTTTGCTTAACTGTATAAGTATTAATTTTCTACAAACACACGCACGCACACATACATCTGTGTAATAGAGAGGGGGGAGATGAGAGAGATGGGAGATTATCATCATATTATGATGACTGAATTTCTGGAATTGTTAAATTATTTTAGGATTGATAATGTTTTCTCGCCCATTCTTCAAACAATAAAACCTCCATATTTAAGGAATTAGCATTTTATGATAAATGCTTAGATATTTGGGATCTTTAACCGGCGTGCTGGCCTGGTGATTAATGCCCTCGACTCGTAATCTGAAAGTCGCGGGTTCGAATTCCAGTATTCGTTGGTAAAAAGAGTAGCCCAAGAGCTAACGGTGAATGGTGTTGACTAGCTATCTTCCCTCTTGTCTATCACTGCTAAATTAGGGACGGCTAGCGCAGATAGCCCTCGTGTAGCTTTGCGCGAAATTCAAAACGAATTCGGCGTGCTCAGACAGTATACCCGTACTTCATCTCGTGATTACGTTTTGCGATTCCGCGAGGTAACAAAAGTAGTGGGACACATTGATGTAACCAAAACTTGGACGAATTGTTTACTCGGAATATCAAGTGACCTTTACATACAGTGGTGTTAGTATCTATTAGGTCGTCAAGAAATTAATGTCACGGTTTGGAACACTTTCATTACCCCCCCCCCCAAAACACACACACACACACACAACGTAAATCACGTATAATAGTTAAACAAACCGCCTAAACGTCACGTTAGTGTAGCCTATATAATGTGTAAACTTTAGTATACTCTAATCCCTTCGGCATGTAATACTGTTTG